GGGGGATGGGGTGGGTGGGGGTGGGGTGTTGCGGTGGTGATGGTGGTGGTGTTGCTGCTGGCGGTGCTGGTGTTTGTGGTGGTGACAAGAGGAGGGCGTGTCCGCACACGCTCTTGCGACACGCAGGGCAGCGTCCTGCCCCACGCCACAGGCATCGTGAATGGCACGTCAAATGCGTCGACCGACCCAAGCAGGTTAAATGCCAGGTCCAAATTTCCTGCAGCATGCTTGAAAGGTACAACACATACATAAGCCAGACGTGAGCTTCTTCTGTCAGCAGCATCACCCACCCAAACCAACACCCTGACACACTGCACTCCTTTGCAGCCAGCCGTCCCTCCATGAACCAAGTCCCCGCCCTCAAACAAACCACCCACCAACCCACCCCACGCACGAAACAACCCTGTGCTGACACCATACACCCACCCATGCACCCACCCATCCACCCACATTCTGGGTTGATGGGTGTGCAACACACACGCACACACACACACACACACACACACAGACAGACACACAGAGTGTGCAGGCACGTGCATGCACACACATGCACACTGACATATGGACACACACACTCACACAAGACCAAACCCGCCCCCACCTGCTCCTGCAGCATCATCATCTCGTCGACACTGTAGCCGGCCCTGAACCCATAGGATGCCAAACTAGAGGACCACTTGGGGTTGACCACGATCATGGTGTAGCCCCGGTCCAAGCCGAGGCCCTCCACAAAAGAATCAATGAAGGGCTCAAACTTGAGCGCATCCACCTGAGGTTCAGCACGCGAGGTAGTTGGTGCTTTGGCGCTTCTCGGTCTCGGTGTTTTGGCGAGCGGTGGCCGAGGCGATCAGTGGAGCGGCAAGCCGCACGCTGTGCCGACGCGGCCTGCGAGTGCGCCCATCTTGGCGGCGCCGCCAGCCGAATAACGCAATTCCCTGATGCTTCAGTCATCTTGGACCTCCCATCTTTCTCGCAGGCTGCACGCCGGCAGGCGCGGCTCCTCTCCCGCGGCGCTGCGCCCGAGCGCCCGCTTCCCTATTCCCATCGCTGCCCGCGGGCTTGGTTTTGACACGACCACTTGCAACCCCGTCACAAACTCCTTCCCGCAGCGCTGACTCCCAGCGCCAACCACGTACCCTGCACACAGGGCCTCCTAAGACACACACACACACACTCAAAAACACACACACACACACACACAACTCCCTCACCTGCTGCGTCCCCGTCTCAAAGTCGGGGTCCACCGGCCGGCTGAACGCGTTGACCGCGCGCTCGTAGGTCTCCAGCACCTCGCCCTTCTGGACCACCACCACGTTGCAGCTGAAGTTGAGGCGCACATGGGCCGGCAGGGGGGAGGGCGACATCGACCCCTCGACGCGCCCGGCGCAGTGCCCTGCTCATGCAGCACAACGCGGCGGGCAAGCCCATTGGTGTGTGTGTGTGTGGGGGGGGGGTGGGATGTTGTTCCTGGGAAGGAAATTGCGTGCCTGCTGCACAGGTGCCCATCGCGTCTGCCACGGGCCGCACGGCGGCGCCGCTGCGGAGCCTCGCGTTCCCACCGGCGGCCCGCGAGCCCGCGGCCGCTGCATGGGGCAGCGCCCGTGTCCCCTCCCTCCTAGTGGCCCCAGCCGCCCACCGTCATCGAGGCAGGTGAGATCCGCCAGCGACACCCGCGTGTGCGGCATCAGGTGGTCCATGTGGCCAAACCACTCCGTCAGCGCCAGCTCGTCCAGGCGCACGCGTGCGTTGCCATCGCCCTTGCGACCAGGGGGAGCGAGGGGTCGGTTGTGCGTATTGCACACGTGCGCGCGCGAACGCGTGCGCGAGCGGCGCATCAGGACAGGTCCCCGACCGCACTTGAGGGGCTCCTCCGCTGTGCTTGCCAGCTGACGTCGATCTGCCGACCAGCCCCTGGCCGCAGACGCATTGCTGGAAGCCTCGCCGCCGCCACAGCCCTCCTGTAGCAGAGACGGCCCCCACACCAGTCCCCCTCTCCATCTGCCGCCCCTGGGCCCGCTCGCATGCTGATAGGAAACCAACCTCTGCTTGCCCATCGGTTCACCCTCCATACGCGGTCCCGCAGCAGGGGGCTGCTGAGGCACGCGCATTGTCTCGTCTATCCCCTTCCTGACCCCCTTCTTCAAACCTCTCAAGCAGCAAGTATCCCACGCAACCCCAAGCCGTCATCGAATGCACGGCGCTCTCAAAACCCCCCGCCCTCCGCCCACCTGGAACCCGATGAACACGATGTGCAGCGGCAGCGGCATGTGCAGCTGCTCGACCCGCCCAAGCCCCAGGTACCCCGCCAGGTCCTTGGCGGCCAGGTACTCCGCCTTGTCAGCAAAGCTGCGCGCATGGAGCTCCCTGATGCGCGACAGCTCGTCGCTCTCCCATATGAGGGGGTCCTGCCCGTCGTGCGTCTGTATGTGTGTGTGTGGGGGGTGGGGG